TTGTTGTTACAGAAGAACTAGGTCAATAACTATTGTTATTGACCCTTCAGCGTGGTTGAGGTGTAACGTTGTCTTCCAACATTTCATGTTATTATTATTATTATTATTATTATATTATTATTATTATTATTATTATAGCTTAGCTCTAGTTTTTGTCATAATAAACACTCCTCTTTTATTATTGTTATTATCATCATCATCATCATCATCATCATCATCATCATCATTATTATTATTATTATTGTGTTATTTATCTGCCCAGTGCTGGCGTAGGACGAACCGGAACATACATTGTGCTGGACGCCATGTTGGATCAAATAACTGCTGAGGGGGTGGTAGACATCTACGGTTTTGTCTGCCACATCCGTCAACAGAGAATCTCAATGGTGCAAACAGAGGTATGTCGGCAAACATTGAGACCTGGGTTGTAATTAACAAATTTCTTGATTAGTGCGACGGATTTAATGGACGGAATATTTTTTTTTAGAATACGCAAAATTGCGTTACTTCTGTTCTTCGTAGTTGTATTCCTGATCTGGTATAAGAATGGCAACAACAACAACAACGCACACACACACGCTTTGATTTACCTTCAGTTTACAAAAAAGAAGAAAAAATATTATAAAGTAGGAATACAAGACCATAGTTGTTAAAATTCCACCCAGAATACTTAGTAACTATAGAAGTCCCTTAGTCGTAAGATCAAAAGTCTCCATCTTATGAGGATATCACTCCGATTGTGTACATAATATTGGCCTTTGACTTTCCCTCGTACTAAGTTGTTGCTTGTTTCACAGGCACAGTATATATTTATCCATGATGCTCTGATGGAGTATGTCACTTGTGGCGATACAGAATTCGTTGTGCGTGAATTGCCAGAGAAGCTACGCATTTTGAACACCATAGATCCAGACAGTGGAGATTCACTTCTGGTAGCACAATTCAAGGTATGTGTTCGTGTGAGGGCCTGTGTACATTGCGAAAAATTGTTCCTGGTAGGAGGGTTACCCTCCATACCTAGCCACCTCGGGCAAGAGATGTTCCGTGCCTTGTCATTTTGTAAATAGCAGCTTACAAACTGTTTATACGAACAATCACAAATTTTGTTCGGAGTTAGGGTGACGTGGATGGAGGTCCGCGTGCTTAGGAGTTAAGGTGACTCTGGAGCAGGGTGGGGGAGCCAACATGTTTTCATTTAAACAATAGATATGTTGACCCGCTCATCAGGGACAAGTTGCGAATAAAGCATGCTCGAAACCAGCATGGCCAATTTGTGACGACCTTTTTTTTTTTCGTATAAACACTCTGTACAAGATTGCACGGGAAGAAAGTTACTCTCCTACCAGGGAAACTCTTCTTAATATAAACAAGCCCTAATTGGAGACTCCCTCACAAGTATCATGTGCCAAACGAATGAAATTTTAGCGATGACTTTTTGGTAATGCCTCATTAAGACAACCCTTTATAGATGTTAAAAGGTGTTTGAATTAGTGAGTTCCTCTATTAATAAAATACTTGAATTATGTGGTCTTAATTGCCACTGATTGGTTCCTTGGAATGCCGTTTTATATGAATGTCGTTACACTTGTGAAAGTAATTTTACTGTGTTGTGTTTTTCAGAACCTTGCTCTCGGTGACTGCGATAGCGACTCGTTTATCGTTGCTTCTCAGCCAGAAAACAAAGCCAAGAACAGATTTGCCATACTTCCATGTGAGCCTGTCATTAAAACCTAAACGTTTATTCCGGCCAACCAAAACAAATTTCAATTAAGCAACCAGACAAAACCAGGCGACCCGTTAAAAAAGGTTCAAACGGCTGAAGAAATGCGTGTTTGTCCTGTAAATTGGTTAGTACATGTTACGTGGGTTTCCCAAACAAATTACCAGGTTCAGCAAATGCAAACTAGCGTAACACAATTGGTCATAACTCAGCAGTGTTTTGGAACTGTTGTGATGGGTTTTGGTTGGCTTGTCTATACGGTTAGTAAGGAATGCTGGGTACCGAGATAAGAGATCCACAGAACTACTGTTCAGTTGCAATTGTGAGGAAATGGGTGACAGGTACTCACGGGAAACCTCAACCTTTTTCCCTTTAGAAAGAAATCGTAATTTCATTTAGCAAAATGGTCTGAACATATACTGTCCCGCATGAGTGATCTATCTGCTTAGAAAGTTTCATCTTAATAGTCGCACACTCGAGTGTTACCTGCTAGCGCAAAAAGTTACCTCGTGCATGCTGAGTTTCACCCACAAGCTCAAAAATTAGAACCTTGAAACAGAAATATTATGTATTCAGTGTAGAAACGTAACTGGCCAATAACTGTTCGCCAAACAGCAGGTTGTCTGGTACCCCTTTGCCCAGGCGACAAGAGATCCGCGGAACGTTTAAAGCTGAATGGTTCTGCAATGTAGACTATTGATAGTGCTTTTTAATTCCTCAAATTTTGCTGCAGTTGATCGATCAAGAGTGAAATTGTGGCCTTATACTGGACTAGTGGGCTCTGATTACATCAATGCGAGTTTTGTTGATGTGAGTAGATAATATTGATAGTTATACGTATTTTCGTTGTTTTTGACATTTTCTTGGTATTAATTATATTTGAAGCCTCCATCTTAAACACCACGTTCGTTTTTTCCACGTCAGAGCTCAGTTGTCCATTCTTTTTAGAGTTTTCAACAACGTGAAGCATTCATTGCCACTCAGGCCCCGTTGGACAATACTGTGGTAGATTTTTGGCGTATGGTCTGGGAATACGAAGCCTTCTCTATTGTGATGCTGTCCACAGTTAGCGAAAAGGAAGAGGTCTGTGCTGATCTTAATTCTGTCGTATAGTATCTTTGTGCCAGGCGTTTTTTGGTTTTCTTCTGATATCTAGTAGACATTGTCTGATTGTTTCTGTCAACTTATTTTGTTCCAGGGACAATGCGCTAATTATTTGCCTCACAAAGAAGAGTTCATAGTATATGGCTTGTTGATGATTGAAGTCGAGACAGAGGATTTGAGAAACGGCTTCTGCAGGAGACACCTGAAAATAACTAACACAAAGGTAAAGTAGAGCTTGGATCATTGTTTTGTATGTGTTGTCAGCGACTTCCCTCTCCCATTTGCCTCGTGTCAGCTTCATGAGCCAATATTAAGTCTAAAAAAAAATCTTTAAAAAGTGAATTAAAACTGATGTATCTCAATTCATTTTGTTTATCTACAGAGTGGTGAAATTCGCAATCTTTTCCATTTCCATTTCACGGAGTGGGCAGAGCGTTCAATTCCTTTGAATGGAGTGGGGCTTTTTGATATGATGAAGTGTATTACCAGGGTACAACAACAGACAGGCAACGGGCCAATAGTCGTACACTGCAGGTATGTCTTCTAAAAATACCTTGGAGAATTTCTTGTCACCTAAATGTTCGTGTATTAAAAAAAACTGGGAGTTTAATTTGCGTCTGCCATAATGCCATCGAACCGGTGTTAAACATCTTTGCCAAACGGGTGACAGTTTTTACATTTTTTTTTTTAATATTCTGTATTAGTGTAAGGAGCAATAGCTATGACGCAAAATGTGTAAAGGATCTTATAAGGCGGCGCAAAGATATGAATTTTATTTTCGAGTGGTAAAAACAGTTTTTAGGATCAGCGCAGGCTTAGCTCGCGATTTTCACTGACTGTTTGCACAAATAAACGTGAAAAACCGAGAAATGACGTCATCAATATCCCTGGAAAATGCGCCACTTGGGTCCCGTATGTAGTTCGTATGAATTTTACGAGGTTTATTTTCCAGTAAAACCCTCGTGTCTATATGATAGTTAGTTATATTTTGCCAGGTGCAATATATCTTCAAATAACCTACAATGCAGCTATAGTTATAGAGAGTAACAACAGTTAAATGAACCAGGGAGAAGTCGGAGACTGAAAACTGCGTGTGACCAAGTTAGGATTAGCTTTTATTTTCCATCCGATTGTTTTTTTGGAGCCAGTTTTAAACTAATTACAAAGCATAGTAAAGCAATGTTAAAGCAATTCCGTGTCACTCAATTCAAAACTTATATAAGGTGGATCTATTCTCGGTTTTGTTTTAATTTCTCTCTTCCTCTCTTTTTTCTTTCCAGCGATGGTAGCGGTCGTACCGGAACGTTTTGTGCCATTAATATAGCCCTTGAGCGAGTCAAGTTGGACGGGACAATCGACATGTTTCAGACCGTACGGCGCCTGCGTACTCAGAGACCTCTTATGGTGCAGACGGCGGTAAGGACCATCACGTGACGCTCTGTGGGTCAACAGTAAATTTCTGCTCAGTGTTAATCATATAAACAAGCGTTAGGTCCTAGGTCGACACAATAAGACAGAACCACTAGCCTTCCGCTAGTTGGGATTTTTAAGAGGTGTTGTTTACAGTGTTCGTTTATTGTCCACAACTGAGCAAAGTAGTGCTTAGTACCCTGACACTTAATAAAGGGATTTTGCAGCTTACCTTTGATCCCACATCATACACCAAAAACCTACCCTTTTTGGCAGGGTCTTTGAGAGCGCTTTTACACGTAATAAGCTTACGAAGTCTCTGAAAGTTGCATTAACGTTTTTACAGCCATCAAATGGGGTGTCAAAAATATTCTGAGTTGCCATTTTTGCTTTTGGCTACCTTTAGTCTTAGCTTGGAACCGTGAATTGATCAGATGTTATATTCTCAAGGATTGTTTACTGTTATTTGTTAGTACAAGCTCAGAGAAGATTTGAGCCAAATTTGGACGTAGGAAAATGGCCGCCACTTAAATTGAGTGAAATATAAAAATAACCATTTAAAACAATAAAGGAACATTTCAGTTACACAAGAAATACAAACTGACTGATCGAGTCTTCTTTATAATTTTTTTCCTTCATAACTTGTCTGCTTGACAGTATATTGATATCCTGCGGACTCATTTAAAGCTTCGATTCTGTTTTCTCTTTTTCAGGAGCAATACAAGTTCTGTTACGAGATGGTGCGATTGTTTGTGGATGCTTTCAGCGATTACGCAAACTTCAAGTGACTTGAAAAGCTGTGTTAGGTGGCTGAAATGTTTCTCGTCTAGCAGCACGTTGTGGCTGCTACCGGTTAAATCAAGTGCCTGTTGATTGAGCCCACGCTGTCGTGGAAGTTGTTGCTAGGTAGTCTGGCGTCGGATATGACGTCACACCAGACCTTTTACTAGAATTTTCTAACGTATTCATAGAGTTGTGAACTGAAAAGGTTCATTTGCCATATCATAGTACACGAAAAGTTCCAAAAAGGTGAAAATAAACTCATTATCTAATGTCAGTACTATTCCTACTGTCAATACTAATTAGAGGTACCTCTGATTTGATAACAAGAGTACTGTAAAACCTTTTCAGTGGCAAATTGCATGCATTGATTATTTGAGACCCGGTAACACGGGACAGACAACACTGGAGGGAAAGGCCTGGGGCGACGAGGTCCTGGCACCACTATGCTAAAGATGGACTGAGATCAACTGATTTTGAATGTTTAGAAGTGAACATTTCATTATGAAGATGTTTGTTGCGTAGTTGATGTAAACGTAGGTGAATATTTCACGTGAAGGTGGATTTTTTTTTTAACAATACTGCATATGCAGACGCGAGTTGCTTGGAAATGGTATAACCTATTGTTCACAGCAACTCGCTTCTTTAGTATTTAACTTTATTTCTATTGGGATACAGGTTGTTCCGGTAGCAGGAGGTAAATGCTGTTTTTGAATGAAGAATTTTAACTCTTCCGCGTTTTTAGCAATTGTTCACTTGCATTGATCAAGTGGTTGTAGATAGAAAAATATGCCAAACAGTCTATTTTTATATTGCAGTTTTTAAAAAGATGCAAGCAGCGTACGGACTTGTAAATTATCGTAGTGTACTGAAACTACGACTTGTTGAGGGTGTGAATGGGTATGAGAAAATGAGTTGTTTAAAAATTGGGCCGTTAATCAGGTTTGTTTTATGTCCAAAATGCTGCTTCGTACTTTGAGCCATCTTAATTGATTAAAAGACGAGGTGAACATGCTTTGTCTCATTAGATTTGTGCCGTTCGAATTATCGAATTTCTTTTCATAATGTGCATACATAATTAGAATTGTAGTCATGGGAATATGGCAATTGATCACCAAGCAGAAATTGCTTTGATATCTCGTTAGTGAATTCTGTTAACTATAATGCATGTATTAAGAGTTTTAGATCTTGACATAGCTCGTCCACACCTTCGCAGTCATGGTCTGGTGTCCTTTCTTGAAGCCATGACTTAAAGACGAATACACTCGAACCTCCTCGTAAGCAGGTACCCTTGACAGTAGAAGTAGTGTCCGCCTACGGAAAGAGGCCACTGCAGAAAGCTAACAATATAGGGCAACGTCAGGTACAGGTGCCCGTCATTTAGTGCCTGTGTGTCGGTGGAGGTTCCACTGTATTATATACTTCTGTATTTAGACCAGTTTGGTTCTCGTTTGGTAAGAGGATCACATTGTCAATCATGAAATCTCTCAGATAGTCACCTAAGTTTTACGACTGTTTTGTTGCAAGGGTAGCTCTAGATTTTCTAGGAGAGAGGAAGCAAATAAAATATGCTTACAACAAGTCATTGTATAATCAATTGCAGTATTGCGAAATGTATTTTGGGAGGTGCTGCGCTTCTAGCGATGTGTATGGACTATCAGCTTGGGCGCTGTTACATGGACGGGTAAACGGTTTGATTGAGGGGTAGCTTGGTAGAGCAACGACTCGCTGCACGGCATTTGTTACTCAATGCTAGCTAGAGGTACAAGATTATTTTTTATCGTGAGTCCGTCAGCATAACAGCATAAGGACTCTCAAAGATCTCGAACTCTCTTGTCTTCCTTTTTAAATCGCTACTTCTCGAGTTTCGCAACTTTCAAGGTTTTCTACTTGCTTTGGGCAGCTGAAACGTCTTCCGAATTTCACAATAAAGGTGTTTTCAATATAGCGAACTGACGAAGATAAATTTTGTTGGATTTAGATCACACAAAATAGGGTATTATATAAAGCCTCTGGAATAACGTCCTTGTCACCCAGAAACTTTGCAGTGTTTTGGAGTCAATAACTCTTATTATTACATCCCAAGAGCTAAAACTGTCACCAATTTATACTTTCACAAGCTCTAAATGTGATTGGAGGCAATCAGTATCTGAAAATGTTGCCTTTTCACGTATGCTAATGAGGCAAAATGTTGAAAAAAAAAATCTGAGGTGGGCTCTAGATGAATTTACAGTTTGACAGCACACCTCAAATAACTTCGCACACGAAGCCGAGAAAACCTATTAGGAATTAATACCGGTTTAATACCTGGCTCGTATCGTGTTTACGCTTGGAAGAACTCTTGAGCGGGAGACGATAAGCGCCGTTTGTTTCATGACTGAGAAAATTACATTATTGTGATTGGCTGAGAGCAAGACAATTTATCGTTAATTCTTAATCCACAGTGCAGTGCAAATTAACCCCGTGCACGCGTTCGCAATTTTCTCAGTCACACAATAAATGAGTAATCGTATAAAAAGCTCGTACAATTTTGAGAGAATTTCCCAATATCACTCGTAGTATAAATCCTTAATTGCACTGGCTTTCGTACGATCACCTATACTTCTTTCATTATTGCATCCACAAGGAGAATGTATTACTATAGTTCCGGTTCCAGAGCCTTCTTCGTGTACAGTGAAACCTGTATTAAGCGGACCCCATATTAAGCGGACACCCTCTATTGAGTGGACACCAGCTCGAGTCCCTAAATTTTCTTTGCACATTTACTGTAAAATAAACCTGCATTCAGCGGACACCTCTGTTAAGCGGACGCGGACACCAATATTAAGCCATTTTGTTACACAAAACCTGCAATAAGCGGGCACTTCAAGGGCTTTTACTTCTAAAGGTTCAGCTGAGACTCCTTTAATATTGTTCAGTGATGTCGTTTTAAAGCTGAATGATGCATTGACTGACTGTACATTGTATTATGAGCAGTCTTAGCTAGTCTTTGATCTTGCACTGTGTTACACTGTGTTACAAAAGGGTTAATTGCGTTCGACTGAACGCAGTTCTCATCGCGTAATGCAGAAAAATTCGAGATCTATGAATCTATCTGGGGACACCAATTTGTTCCCCTCCGCCTCCAAAAAAAAAAAAAAATTGCGGACTTTCGAGTGTCGAGGAAGCTTATTGTGGACTGAAGCGGATACTGAAGTTGTTTATTTAAAGTTCGAAGTCTGTTAATGGCGTTTAAAAACCTTGTAGCCATGTCTTCACGAAATATGTACGACTTTTCGAGGCAGTTTATTGAAGACTGTAGCGGATAAGTTGTTTATTTAAATTTCGAAGTCAGTGTTAATGGCGGGTGTTAATGGCATTTAAAAACCTTGCAGACATGTCTTCACGAAACGGTGTACGACTTTTCGTACGAACACAAAGCTGTACTTTGGCTGCGTGTTTTGTTGCCTCTTCTCTTCGACGGAAACCAATGCTGCTTTCTGCTGAATAAATCAAAGGAGGAAATGAGTTTCACTTCGCTGGCCTAGATTTCTGTGCACAAACTATGTAACGTAAACCACCCAACGAAAGTGTCTACATAGGAAATGAGTTCAACTCCCACAGGGTTGCTTTGGTACACCAACATATCCTCCGTTTCATTGTTTCGGAAGTAAAAATGCCCTGTAGCAGTTACCCCAAAGCCAGGACGATTCAAAGTCGTGTTCGTAACAAGATAATTGTCCTAGTTTTGGTACTAAAAGCACGTCGTCTCACATACCGACGGAACAAACATGGTTGGTGTCAATTTGTACGGTCAGTATAAAACACGCACTGGGGACTGCGGACTGCAGACTACGGACTTCGCAGGTTTATGTATATAATAATATACATGAAAAAATTACTCGATTCTAATTGGTTGAGTACAGTGCAGTGCAGTGCAAAAAGTGTAACACCAGTGCAAAAAAGTACAAATTACACATCGTAATTCTGGATTATGATTGGCTGAAAGAAAATAAGAAATTTTCTAAGCCAAGTATATCACGCAAAATGATGAAGAAAATTTTGTGCGGAAACTTTGAAAAAAAGTTTTCTCGAATGAGAAAAAATGACTTCAAGAAATATCTTCCGGCACCTTCTCCACGCGAATGTTTTCATGTTTGTATTATTAATAAGTAATCATACGGTTTTTCTCGTTCAATTTGGAATTAATTTGCAGTTGTGAGTTTTTCAAAAAGGTGAAATTGCATTCGCCGAAGCGGCTCGTGCAATTTCAGCTTTTTGAAAAACTCACTCGTGCAAATTAATTCCAAATTGAACGAGAAAAACCGTATGATTTCCTATACAAACCAGGACTAAGCATTACGGACTGGGCATAAAAACGCGACCGGACTCAGGTATAAAAATGGGGACTGCGGACTAAATGCGGCCTCGCGACTGCAGTCCGATTGCAGTCCATGTTTTTTACTGACCGGTCGTAACTAATGTTACACAATACATGTATAAACGAGAACAAACAATCTCGTGTCCACGTGCTTTGCAATCAATTCATTTGTTTTTGCTCCTGCTGAGAGGAGAGCAATTTCACGCCTACCTAACAGCTTAAGCAGAAAATGCCTTCCCTAGAATTTTTTTTTTTAACATACCAAGCCTGCTTTGCGATCAATTCACTTGTTTTCGCCCCTGCTGAAGGGAGACCAATTTCACGCCTACCTAACAGCTCAGGCACAAAATGCTGTCCCTAGAATTTTTGTTTTTTTAACATACCAAGCCTACCAAAACTCGAACGCACTCTTTAATCTACGATTACTACTAGTAATTAACTATTATTGCACAATATATTAGAACCTGTTTTGAGCGGACACCCTGTATTAAGCGGACACTAGTCAGGATAGACTTTCTGAAAAGTCCTTCGTCTTGTTTATTCAGTACCCGCTTCGCAGCCTAACATATTCTACCATGAAATTCATGAGGTCGACTTGTGGCAAGTCTGTAGTCAGGGTCCCAAGGGTGTCCGCTTAATACAGGTTTCATTGTATATGAAATCTCGTCAGGAGCGTATTGGGCTCTTGATCTCGTCAGATCTGGATAGGCTTGATTACGAGCCCGCGCTCACGGGGAGGATCACCTGACTGGACCTGAGATAACCTGCGAACATACCCTCCTTCCCTTTTCCCTTCTTCTTTCCAAAACAAAAAACAAAAAAAAAAACCGCGTGATCTCAGGTTAGACCTGAGAGAGCGGGAGAATTGAGATAATTTGAAGTTCTCCTATGTTCACCTGGATGTACTTACTCCTGGATGTCCTATTTCGCGGATAGACTGCCGGAAAGTTCAAAGATTCGGGGCGCTTTCCATTTGACTGGAAAAACCGGTGAGAACTTTCTGCCAAATAGAACAGTACAATTTTTCCTCCAGAAAAAATGAAACGGGGGCAGCTGTACCATGTTCCATTAGGTTTCCCACCGGGAAAACCAATTTTTCCATCTAAATGGAAAGCGCTCTCGCTTTGGAGAGGTGAGCGCGGGCTCATTTTCCGAAACCGCGGTTAGTAATCGAGGGGTCAATCGAGGGTAGATACGTGGTGTATGGGGACATACAGTACTTTTTCGAGTGGGAAATGAGAACGAAAGTGTCCTCGATTGTGATCATTCTCGTCCCCATAGCCCTTTTCGCTCCTCATAGCCGGCAGGGCCTTGGCACGAGAATGGAAGGACCCTACGATTCTCGTGCCAAGGCCCTGCCGGCTAAGAGAAGCGAAAAGGGCTATGGGGACGAGAATGTCACCGTTGCAGTTATGTCCTGTGTGGCAGATATGTCCTCTGACGTAATGTGATATACTGAGCCAATCATATCACGCGTTCTATCTAATAACACGCAGCATAAGACTGGTAGCTAAACTCCGTTGCAGTTCGGTCTTCAAGCAAAATTGATTTTTCGAGGGGTAGCGTACGGAAGCAATATTTGACTTTGTATATCTTGACTCTGAACCAGAGTGACTCTGAACGGAAATATGCAGCGGCTATTTGTAAGAATTGTATTTACCTCACAAGATTTCTATCGGAAATTGACCGCTTAGTGTATTTTCAGTTTTAAATTCAACATGAATATGTTTGATCGAAGATTGAAACAGTGGTTGCTCTCCGGTTTGCGAACGGCGTGTTCCCGGCCAGCCAATATTAAACTCCTCGCTTCGATTATCCTCAAATCGTTCAGATCGTTCAATGATATTACAGAGGCAAAACAAAATCTCTGAGAAGTAGTGTAACCATTAGTTTCGGTGCTGTAAAACTACCACTCGATCTGCGCAATATTTCTCTATTCCCAATCTTGTCACTCGCACGAAAGCCGGTTCGCGAAAGCCCTCTTCTCAGTATAAGTTTGTTGAAGCTGACTGAACCTTTTGGGTAAGCCGTCTCCTGTAGCATCGAACATTTATTACAGGAAGTTTCTTGTTGAGTAGATTTTATGGCCGGAGT